TTTTCTAGCCCTTCGAAAAATTGGACGGCTTCTATTCAATCTCGAGACATTTGCTTTTTCTGGTGCATAGAGAATTTATTTCGGAATAGTTTTACCAATATTAGTCTATGGATGGTAGAGATTACATCCCAAAATTTGAAAGTATCCCTAGTACGTATCTTGCTTGATGGAGGGAGCACATAAATAGTACATTCTTGCAAGAGTAGGCGATAAGGTTCACACCGCCATTAGAAAATGAAACTATTATCATAGACCTCAATCAAAGTGAAGAACAAAATGAGATGTGCTCCTACTTCACCACTGAAATGTATCATTTCTCGTGAGATTATCTTGAACACAAATAAATTTATTAAGAGGCCTGTATTTCTACAAATACGGGTTTGCCCTGCATAGAAACCATATCTCACTTTTAAAAACGTTTTTTGTTTGGAGAAGATTTGTTTTATGAAGGTAGACCTTATTTTTTTGAAAAAGGGCTAGGGTCGTGTCGTGGTGGTAGCACCCCACACATTACTTACTATGTTGTGGTTTTCATTCTCACCACTTACACCGCCCCACTAAAACTTCTAATAAAAAAAAAAAAAAAGTTAACCGTGGTTTCTTTGCAGCCCAACCCACATATGAGAAACGAAGGCCTCTAAATAAATCTATTTTTGAGATGGATTTTAAGACTTAAGTTTTAAAGACGTGTGATCTTTAACATGAAGATTATGAATATGAATAAATAAATAAATTTTAAAAAATATGAATAATAATTTTAGTAAGAATTTAGACCGCATATGTAGTCATGCGGTCGAGGCCGCATGAAACAATTGTCCCTCCTAATCAATTTGAAAAAACCGGGTAAGACCTGTCTTCCCCCACTCAATTACCGCAAAAAAAAACAAGAAAAAAAAAAAACAAACGTACACCTTCTCACTCATACTGTAGCCGTCACTCTCTCACTTAAAATACCCGCGTCAAAAGCCCCAGCGAGAACACCCACTCTCTCATCCCCAATCTTCTCTCTCTCTCTTCGCTTCTCTCTTAACCTCTCTCTCTCTTCGGTCTCAATTTGTGAAGCCTGTTTATATTTTTTCTTTTTTCTCATCGTGAAGTCATGAAATTTGATCATCTTCAAGCCCAAGCTCCCTGAAGCCGTGTTACTATTCGCCTGGTTCTACCCGGTATGAGTAACCTTTTTCTTCTTTCCCTTTTTCTGCTTCCTTTTTTGTATTAATGAAATTTATATTAACTGGGTTTTAATTTTGGATTTTGGCGTTCATTTGTGGGGTTTTTGGTATCCATTATTGGGGTATTGTTTGTTTCTTTATCATTATGCGGAGATGCTTTTGATGGTGAAAATTTGGTATTTATTGTTGAGAATGAAAAGGAAGTTCGTCTTTGCACAAAGATGGATTTTTTAGATAACTGAGGTGTTTTCTCTCTCCTCTTTTTTTTTTTTCTTTTCAATAATTTATCTGTGTTTCTGCTCAATTCTCCATGGATTGAACTTACATTTATGAAATGGGAAAATCCAAGCATGGTTTTTGATTTAGTCAGTACTAGTATAAACAGATGGGTGGTCATATTTGGAGGTGGAAAGAAACTAAGAATTTATCATTATTTACGAGTGAATTCGTTTGTTGTTTTGTGAAAAATACAAGGAATTTGTCGTTATTATTATGTCAAAAGAACCCAATCTCGGTTTGAGTTCTCCAAGTAAAATTGTTTTGTAATTTCTATTTTTTATGGTTGTTACTTGAATGCTTGAGCTTATATTGGTGAAAGAGAAAACAACAACAGGGTTGTGTTGTCAGTAGAATAAGCACATGGATGATCGCCCTTTGATATGGAAATCACTTGTAGTTTATGTGGTTTCAGTATGTGGAATGAACCAAAATTTATAACTATTTTGGTTGAATCAGTGTTCCAAAAAATCGGGTGGCGCCTGTCCTAGCCACCTAGCACATAGGCGGGCGCCTTTCTAGATGGCTTAGGTTAAAGAAGAGGTGCAGGGGAATATGAGTAATACATCATAAAATATTAAAATTTTTAAAATCCATCGTTCCCAACCATTGCAAATTTGAGAGAGTTTTTAATTTTTCCCTTGCACAAAATTTTAAACTCTCTCTCTCTGTCTCTCTCTGTGTGTGCAAACTCCTGCTCTAAAGAAAAGCCTTAAAGTTTATTTTTCTTGCACCAAGATGAGGTTCAAATTACTGGTTTTGTTGCAGAGCTCAAGAGCGTCATCTCCTCAGGAAACCATAATACATCATCGACACTCCAATTCAGCCATTTTCAAAGAGGTTTGGAGTTCCTTTCTTCTCATGTACATCATTACTTCTACTCAGTGCTGCAGTATCCTTTGTTTGATTGCTTGGTCTGATTTTGTACTCCTAAAACTCTAGTTTCTGCTGCTGAGAATCAATCCTAAAAATAAAAATAAAATTCTTGAAAAGTTATCTCTTTTCTCCTTTTCTCGCCCATCTTGTAGCATGCTGAAAATCAAATTTTGTTTATGTAGTTTCTTTTTATTGTCTCCATCAGATTACGCTTCTATGCCGCTTTTAAAAATGGGGATGATTTTTGTGGTTATGATAGGTTTCTGTTTGCTCATACTCAATAGTTTTGATTGCTGATAATTATCAGCAATTTTTTGATTGCTAATATACTTTCACCCAATTTGTACTAGGGCACTGATAATATGATTTTGCGCTCCTTATTGGTATTCTTCTCTTGCGAATATTAGAGAAGAAAATTACAGTGCATGGACTAGTTTTAACAAGTGGTGAATTACGATTTCATTCAATCATTTAAAGAAGATATAAATTGAAATTTTGGGTTTATTGCTAATTGATTGCAACTTTTGACCATTTTTATTCTGCAGTGGGCATAACCCAAAATATTTAGTCATTTTTCGATGGTCTCTGGTTAGTTTCTTTTACAATATTGTGTTGTTTAGAACCTAGAGAATATTTAGGTTGCTCAGACATCAGCTTAAAAGTGTATAACTTAGCAAGTCCCACGGGTAATAGAATTGTGATGGTAATAGAATTGTGATGGCTGAGTTATCAAAATAGAAAAATTAAATGGAAGCAACTTTAGGCTGTCGGAGAGGAAGATGGAATATCTACTTATCTAAGACATGATACCATATGGGCTAAAAGATGACCCACCAACTGTTAGTGATAAACCCAATGTAGAGGAAAAGAAAAATTCCTAGAAGATGACCTAATAGCAAAGACATCTGTGCTAATTTTTATGCAAGTTGATTTTGTTAAGGATTCGAAAATTATGAGACATCTAAGAAAATGCTAGATGTAATAGAAAAGAAATATGACACAATATGAGAAACGCACCTTCAATTGCTCTTGGAACAATACAATTCATTGGAAATGAAGGAGGGTGATTATGTAGTGGACCATGTAAACAAAATGCTTGTTATGATTAAGGACCTCGCCATTGTCTGGAATGAAGTTCCTGGTCACATGCACGTCTTCACTCTTTTAGACAATCTTGCGACCTCGTGGAGGATGGTTGCAATTTCAGTTTGAATGCAAAATCCCTTAGTCTAAGAGACCTACCCATGTAATTAATCCTAGAGCGAGAACATATGAACAAAGATAAAAAGAGTGAGCTCACTCTTGCTCAAGGTCCTCCTAAACTAGCTAACCCAAGCCTAATAACGAAAGGTTTCATGGAAATTTCTATAAGAGGGACAATAGGTTCAAAAATAAAGGAACCAAGCTCCACAACCATGAGACTAAACCGGTACTTCCAAGATGCTTAACATGTGGTAAGCTCAGTTACTTCAAAGATCATGCCCTCAAAATTGAAACCCACAAAATTCAAAGCTTGTAGGAACATGAGCAAAAGGCATGAAGTTGTCTCCTAGTCATAGAGTGTTTGCCTGGTTACCATGACATCAAAGGATGGTTGGTTCATTTTGGGCACGAACTGTCATATTGCAAGCTCCAATGCCCTTTCCAAGGACTTAAGGGGCATTTGATAATAGAGAAACAAGGTGAAAGTCCCAGACATTCCCTTAAACTATAGCTTTTCCCCAGTTTGGAACTCACTTTTCCCCATTTTGTAGTTCCCTTAAGTAACCCCGCTCGGAAAACTTTATGACCCTCTCCCATCCCATTCCTCATTCTTACTTGCTCCACTCTCCCTCCCTGCCCTTCTCCACCACGAGTTGAGTTAAACTCTAAGCCTACCAACTGAGATGATTGGTTTGCTGACTGCATTAGACCAAGTGAGAGAGAGAGAGAGAGAGAGAGAGAGAGAGAGAGAGAGAGAGAGAGAGAGAGAGAGAGAGAGAGAGAGAGAGAGAGATGACATTAATGCTGCAAAGTTCTTGAATTGTTTCAACCACCAAGAAAATGGCTCTTGTTTTAATCCCCACCTCACATTCACAATGCTCGTTAGCTTCTCCATCCGACCTTCTATCTCTAAAAACAAGCAAATCAATCTTCTTCACCTACAAATTCCTGGTCTCTCTGCTTAATCTCTCTCATCTTTGCACACATAATTTTCAGAGCTTGTATGCTATGATATATGGGCAGTGTCTCATGGTTTTGGATGAATTAGGGTATGGGATCTGGGAAATGGGGCCTAGTGGTCGTGGAGCTACTGGATTTTAGGAATTTTTGGGTCTTAAGTTTTTAAAACATAGGGTTTGGTTTGTGGATTACGGTTTAAGGTTTTGAGAGCTTTATTTTTCAATTATTTCATTGTGATGGTTTTTGCATAATCCTCTTGGTGATTTCAGATCTTCTGATTTTAGGGCTTGCATGCTGTTAAATCTGTTTGAAATGTATTGCATCTCATGATGAATTAGTATTCAGTGAGTGTAAAGATTATTTTTTTTCTCCCCTTGAATTTTTAGGAAATAAGTTGATATTGCTGCACAAAAAATAAAAAATCATATACTTTAAATTCCTTGATGCAATTTATATTTTTGGATCTTCTGGTACTGTGAATTTTCATTTTTTTTTCATTTCTATTGCTTTATTTTGGATGTAAATTTTTCCTCCCATGATTTTACTTATGCCCCTCAATACATGGGAGATACTACCCCCGAGACAATAGATTTTTGCCACCGCAGTTTTGGGCTGTTAATTAGGTTCCAAATAATGGTTCTCATTCTTTTTCCTTTAATATTTTGTTTATGATATGTTTTATGTATATTTTTCTCTAAGAATCTTCATTGACATGCTTTCCATTGGATAATGAAGTTCCTTTATCCAGTATGGTTGACTGGTCTTCAGTCAATGTTCTATATCCTTTAATTTCCTTGCTTACTACAGCTAGTTTGTAGAATACTGCTATCATGCATATACAGTGTAGATTCCTTCTTCTTACCATATGGCTCCTCTTTCAGTTGTCTGTATTTCATAAGATGTTGTTTGTGGTAACCTTTTAAGAGGGATATATACTTATTTTTTCTGATGTACTTGTGTGGTTGCAATTCAATTATTGTTGAGTGTCTTTCATTTTTAAGATGCCTAGCCCTAAATTTTATAAGAAAGGCATTAGATAGTTTGTAGCAAGAAAATCTTATTCAAAATATGCATTTGCGCATCAAATCAATTATATACATAATGAACGGTTAAAACATGCAGTTTCCAGCTCTCCCAATACCAAACAGGTGAAATAGCAACACCATAGTTTATCAAACACGCCTTTAAAGAAAAGCACATCTACATGGGAAACAACACCTACTTTGGTATAGACTGTGTGTAGAGATAATTAATCTTGCATTGATTAATGTGTATTTTGTGGCTAGTATGAGCCATAGTGTTGTATTTGTCCCCTTACTTATTCGAAATGGCTTTGAAGTTCGTTATATTTCTCAATTGGTGAGCATGGCCAGATTTATGCTTGGGGACACTTGGTTGATGAGTAGAACCTAGTCCTTCTAATGTAAATAATATGAATGAGAACTAAAGTTATGCTTAATCTTATCTTGATATTGTAATAGTTGTTGATGCATATACTTGGCACCTTAGGCTAGGATAGACAAGTAAAAACAAAATAACTAGGTTGTTGAAGGAAGTTCTCATTCCGAATCTAAATAAAGTAAGTCCAAACTTGTCAGCAATATTCGTCAGAAAAATGACTAGGAAACCATTTAAGTCAGAAGCTTTATAAATTTTTAAGATGTATAAAAAGGAAGTAAAAACTCAATCCGGTAGGAACATCACAATGTTTCGAATTGATTGAGGAAGTGAATTCATCTCCTCAGAAGCCTTCATTATTTATTGCAAAGGAAATGGTATTTAAAATTTTAAATGCATACTACTATGTCTTAGACACCATAACATAACGGTGTAGCTAAAAGGTGCAATAGAACCTTCTTAGAGATGACTAGGTCTATGATGCTCATGCTAGTCTACCTAAGAACTTTTGGGAAGAAGCATTGAGCATTGCTATGTATAAACTTAATAGGGTTAGCCATAGATTCTACTCTGGTAGGAGACCTAATTTTAGCAACTTAAAGAACTGGGGGTCAATAGCACATGTTCTGATTCTACACCAACACAAAGATAAATTGGGAAACTCTAATATATAATTTTATAGGATATCCCAAAGGTTCAAAGGGTTATATGTTTTACCATAAGGATAAGGGTCTCATTGACAATAGAGATGCTATGTTCCTAGAAGTCCTTGATGTAGAAAATCCACCTTTAGAGGATAATGGCGATCCACTTAAGATTCTAGGTGTGTAAAACCATCACCAGCAGTGGATACTAATGACCATGACCAGCATTATGGTATTCAGGTAACAACACATCCGATGCTAAGTGGTCAAAAGAGGTCTAGGGTTCGTACTTCATATCTTGATGACTTTTTTGTTTTACACGAGTGAGGGCATAGATAACTCTGTTGACTTAAATGACTTTGATGATCTCAACTGGTGTGTTATCTTCCACTGCATTAGGCCATGATAACTTAGGTCATGCAAATGATGGAACTTGATTCCCTTTTTGAAACAACATCTTCCCCCTCCTCCACACTAAAAAACAAAAGGAACAGAAAAAGGGACAGAGCAAATGAATTCTATCTAAGCATGATATTTGGTACATAAGATGATGTCGACAATTATTACTTATGCTTTGCCTGAGCAAATGTATTTGATGTTCACAAGGGAAAACTTGTACTAACGAAGGTCAAAGGATTGAAAGAGGATATTATTGCTCTAAGGGAGCTTTTTACAATGACAAAAAAGGGGGTCTTTGCAATTTGACATCCTTAAACAAGGTGTGGGTGTACGATGAGGTTGTTCATAAAAAACGATCATCATCATCATCATCATCCAAGCTTTATCCCAATTATTTGGAGTTGGCTACATGAATCCTGTTCCTCCATTCTTTGTATCAAGGGCCGTACCCTCAGTAAGACCTAAGTCACTATATCTTTTCTCTCTACTTCTATCCATATCCTTTTGGGCCTTCCACTTGTCTTTTTCGGGCCTTTCACTTGAATCAAATTGCACCTCCTAACCGGTGCTATATTAAATTTACGTTTTACATGGCCACTACCTAAGTCTACTTTCCCTCATCTTATCGGCTATTGAAGCCACACTTAAGTTCCTTCGTATATGTTCATTCCGAATCCTTTCTTGTTTTGCCACTCATCCATCTTAACATCCTCCATCTCAGCTACGCTTATCCTATGGATATGTTTGTTCTTGACTGCCCAACATTCCGTCCCATAAAGCATGACTGGTCTTACAACTATCCTATAGAACTTCCCCTTCAGTGTCATTGGTATGCGGCAATCACATAAAATACTGGATGCACATCCAAACAAAGATGCTAAACATAAATAGGTTGTGTTCAGGTATGTAAAGTACCATAATCAAGTTTTAGCCATGCCAAGGAAGGCACGTCTCATTCACTCGCGTTAAAGATTGCTTTAGGCCGCCAAGATGATAATCGATTCAATGAGCTTTGTGATGGTCAAAATACAAATGTTAACATTGTGATGGGTGTAATTAATAAGAATGATTACTTTCTTTACGTTTTGGTAATATTTAATTTTTATAAGTAGCTTAATCATTAAGTAAATGTGTTTTAGAGGTTTTCACATACATGTTAAAAGTGTCCACGTAAGGAAATTTTTTATTAGTACAAATTTTATTGTCTTTTAGTGAAAATTTCAACTGTCATTTTAAAGATAACAAAAGTACCCCTTGTCTTTTATTGATAATTACACATGTACTTTTACTTAATAATGAAGTTACCCATAATTTTTTTTTAATAATTTTAGTAAAATGCTACCCCAAACTTGATAAATCCACCATTATTAACCCATTATAACCTAGGCTACACATTTCTAAAGTTGAACTTGGAATTTCCTACTCTGAAATTTCAACCACAAAATACCCTTACAAGTCAAAAAATACATTAGCAATATGTTGTTTGAAAATTTTAAGAAAGGGCGTACTTGAAATTTTAAGTTGCTTCCAAAATCCAAATATGATTCAAAAAGTCAAAGGAAACTTTTATTTTAAAAAAATGAAGTCGAAGGATACTTTTTAAGCTTGATTTTTATTTTTTATGGGGTTTTGACCAAAATACTATTTTTAAAATACATGAACTATTTATACTCAAAAGTCATTTCTGAATATGTTATTTTATGGTAAAAAATTTGGGAGTAGAAAATTCTTAGTTCGCTGAGGTAGTTAATAGCTCCTCTGTCAATCCCTTTACCCACGCTCCTCTCCTCAAACCCCTTTAATCTTGGCTCCTCAACCCCATTACCCCAAGCAAACCGCAACGGCCCCCTGCCATTGCCTCTAAGCTTAAGGTAGGCCACATCCCTCTGCACAATTTCACTGTCTAAGCCACAGCTGCCCCCCACCCGCAGGGCCCATCCTTTGTATCTCTTTTTCTCTCTTTCTCTGTCCCCCATAGAGACACTCTCTCTCTTCCTCTTTTCTGCCCTTTTGTGCCCTATCCCCCTAGTATTTGAATTGCTTACTTTTATTTTGTCTTTTTTCTAAATTCTCTTTAGAGCATTTGATGGTGTATAACCGTGTCATGAACAGAACACCATTTGGGCCTTATGGATTTTTTGGTTTCTAAATTTTTTTGTGATGATAACCAGTTAATAAATATTTTTTTTGATAATGTGGTTTATTCATTTCTTATTTGGTGCTTCTTTATACTTTCTCCCTGGTTGTTATTCATTTTGTTCATTTAGACGTATAATTTGTTGTGACATTTCACTATTTTGATTTGCATTTTTTCATTTATTTTCTGTACTTGTTTGGCCTTAAGTATCCGTGCAATGGACATGCCTATGACTATTAACTGCTGTTTTCCTGTTGTGAATTCACTCGTGGGAGGATCAAAAAATTAAATGTTGTCTTTCTATGGAATTATATGGAAATTTTTATATATCTCTCTCTGTTTCTCAATTTATTTAATCTTTTTGATGGGTTTGTTGTTTTTCTTGCTTTATTGTCATTGAGTTCCACTGCATCTCTATGATTTGTAAAAGTCAGTTTAAGTGGATTTCTGATTCTCAATGAAGTAAGTGTTTTATCAGGTTAATTTCGATTTAATATGAGCACAGAGTCACTCTCAGCTAAACCTTCTCAACAAGTTGTCACTCTGGGGAAAGCCCTCAAACTGGTAATTTCTTCTTCTTCTTCATACAGGCAACTTCGGAGCTAACCGTAAAAAGAGAAAGTTCACAATCTTTAATGTATTTAAACTCCGAGTTTTAGATATGAACTACAAAAATTCATTAGTTACCAAAAGGAGAAAAACCCAAATTAATTTGTTAGTGATCTGTTGAGTATTATTGTGTACATGAGGCTAGATATTTATGCTAATATTGTATTTAAGTTCAAATCATCGTGCATTTAGAGTTGATCAAAGAGTGGTGTAGAAGAGTTCAATTGGAATCTCTATACCTTAAGGAACTGGTGATTGGAATTGATGCTTTGTACCTTGATTCATATACTGGTTTTGCCGGTTTCTTCAAGGTTTTAACTTTTTTTTTGTTGAAAGATTAGTTGGCTTTATGTGTGTGTGTGTGTGTGTAGACAAAATTAGAAACGGCCCCCCAAGTCAGCAACCCACAGACTGGGTGAGAGAGAGAGAGAGAGAAGAAAATTAGAAATGGCCTCTCAAGTTGGCAGCCCACAGACTGGGTGAGAGAGAGAGAGAGAGAGAGAGGAAAGCAAGGAGGGAAAAGGGGGAACTGGCTACCCACAACATGGGCACTCTCAAGTACAAAAAACAGGTGAGGAATCGCCTGTGAAACTTGTAGCCTATAAGAAATAGAACAAAAAAACTGTGAGAGTGTGAGAAAAAAAGGAGACGGGGGGAGCGGAAGGGGAAGGTGTGAGTGAGATACAGGAATTCAGGAATGGTGGAAGAGATGACCAAGAAAATCATGGGGGAGATGTGTAATTCGTGGGCCTTCTAGCAGCACCCTCCCTGGCCAGCCTATCTGCAATGTGGTTGGCTGCTCTCAGCATGTGGCAGAAGACAACCTGATTGTTACTTCTAAGCGATTAAATATGGTCAAAAGACCGAGTTAGTCTCCATGGGGTTGGAGGTTGAGTGGCCCAGTGGCATCGTTGAGGTTTTAACTTTACATGATATAATGGTGGATAATAGTCAGCACAAACTATATTGATTCTCAACCCTCAAAAAAGAAAGAGATCTTTTGATTCCAACGGTCCAAGGTCAAATGGCTCTGCTCTGGGGACCAGAACACGGGATTTTTCCACAGGATTGCGAACTGCCAATGCTGGGACAACTCTATCTCCACGATCAAGGTTGGAAATAGGATCTTGCACCTCTCGAAATTGAAGCAGCCATCCTATCTTTCTTCAAATCGCTGTATACTGTCGCCCGGGCCCCAGACCTAGGATGGCCGACCTTCACTTTTGCTTGGTCCTGGCTCATTGGGTTCCATGGTTGGGACGCCCTTTTTTTGAAACCGAGATCTTGGCAGCCTTAGCGGACTTGGGTGAAGACAAAGCACCAGGCCCGAATGGATTCCTAGTGGTTCCCTTCAAAATTCTACGGGAAACCTTCAGACCCGAGTTTTTGGAATTCTTTGAAGAGTTCTTTCATTGGGGAATACTTCACAAAGCCATGAACACAACGGTCATTGCATTTGTTCTGAAAGTTGAAGGAGCTGAAGAACTGAATGGCTTCAGACCGATCAATTTTGTTAATTCCACCTACAAGATTCTATCCAAAGTACTCGCCACAAGACTCAAAGAAGTCCTTCCCTTTGTAATATCTCTCTCCCAGAGTGCCTCCATCAAAGAAAGGCAAATTCTGGATGGGGTACTGGTGGCGCATGAATCCTACATTCTAGGTACCTAGCCAAACAACCGAGCCTTATCTTCAAGATTGATTGGGAAAGGGTGTATGACCATGTCGATTGGTCGATACTTGACGAAACCATGGCCTGTATGGGGTTTGGGGAGCAATGGAGAAAGTGGATGAGAGGCTGCTATTCCATTCCCTTTTTCTCAATGCTAATTAATGGAGCCTTGAAATGCTACTTTCCTTCTTCTAGGGGTCTCCGGTAGGGAGATCCCGTTCACCCTTCCTATTTGCAATTTCAGCTGAGGTTTTTAGCCAGTCCATCTCCTGTATGTACCAGTCGGGCCTTCTCTCTGGCTTCAAAAGCAGCCTTAGGGGCCCAATGGTATCTCATATACAGTACGCTGACGACACCCTCACCTTCATAGATCCTGCTCTGTGGGAAATTGAGACATTGCACATCTTCTTAAAATGCTTCGAATTTGCCACAGGGTTCAAAGTCAACATGGAGAATTCCACGATGATCAGAGTAGCACTCACCTCTTTGAGTCTAGAAGCCTCATCCCTTACTGGGAGTGCAAAGTGGAAGACCTTCCTACGAGTTACCTAGGCATGCCGCTGGGCCTAGAAAAACCCAAAAAAAAGCAGTGGTCTCACATAATAGATAAAGGTCAATCATCGCCTAGCAGGGTGGAAAGAAAGGTTCCTGTCCTTCGCAGGTAGATACACTCTCATTAAGGCGACCCTGGCCAATACCCCGGTATACCTCATGTCCTTGTCCCACATGCCAGCGACAGTGGCTAGCTGACTAGAACAGTTAATAAGGAACTTCATGTGGTCAGGCGTCGCGGAACACAAAAAATAACACCTCATTTCGTGGGAAAAAGTCTGCCAACCCGAGCACCTTGGTGGACTGGTTATCTGGATTCTAAGGAAATAGAACACAGCTTTTCTCGGCAAATGGTGGTGGCTTCTTGCAACTCATAACAGTCAGCTCTGGGCTCAAGTCATTCGTGGCAAGTATAGAATACCTTCCAACACCTGGCTGTCGGAAGGGAGAACCCCGAGTAGAGTGTCTGGGGCATGGAAGTCCTTTTTGTCTTCTCTAGCCCAATTCCAGGTAAACATCCATTTCCACCCAAGGGAAGGTCACCTTATCCAGTTCTGGTCACACCTCTAGTTAGGTCATACCCCGCTTAGGGACTTGTACCTCTCTCTCTTCTCTCTAGTCACCAACAAGTCCTCTGTTGCAGGCGAGATGCCCATCTCTGCAACCTTAGGGTTTGGAACCTGTCGTTCAGACGCCCCCTTTCGGACCCCGAAACCTTGGACTTCCTAGCTTCTATCTTCTCTATTACATTCGACCTTCCTAGCCCACTCCAGGCCGGACCATCTAGTGGGGACCCCACCCCTCGGGCTGCTTCTCGGTGGCCTCATTCTACAAAAAGCTTATGCAGCCACCAACCTTTCCCCTCTCCCCGATAGCAGTTGTCTCTAAGGTGTGGGCGACTATAGCTCCTCCCAAAGTGTGAGCCTTTAATTGGGTTGCTTTTTCTGAGAAAGCCCCCTAATGGTGGACCAGCTCCAACGGAGGGGAGTTCCCATTCCCAATCGGTGTGCGATGTGCCTTTGCGAAGAAGAGAGCAATCCATATCTTTTCATCCATTGCTATTTGCCCATGATCTGTGGAGTCGGCTTTTAGGTCTTTTCGACCTGTATTGGGTAACACCTGCTTCCCTACCGGCCCTCCTCCAGTTCGCGATGGACTCTCCATGGCCCAAAGCAGGAAGGATTTTGTGAAAGGCATCCATTGCGGCTACTGTGTGGGTTATCTGGACCGAAAGAAACACAAGGATCTTCCGAGGATCCAAGTGCGAAGCCCCGGCTCTGTTTCAAAAAATCACAGCCCTGGTCATTTTCTGGGATTCAAACCACAAGGCCTTCAAAGGCATCCAGGCTTCTACTTTCCTGCAGCATTGGAAAAATATTCTTCACACCTAAATTCCTCTGATCTCCAGATCCTCCAACTGGTCCCCTCCTCCACCAGACCTCATTAAACTCAATTTCGACGGGTATTCCCTCGGTAACTCTGGGCCAGCAGGTGTGGGAGGGGTCTTTCGAGACCACCACAGCCATATCCTCACCTCACTCTCCAGATACATAGGCCACACATACTCCCAGCTAGCTGAATCCATGGCACTCCTCTCTGGCCTCAAGATGTTTTACTCCATGTGGGGCGAACCACTGATTGTAGAAGGAGACACCCAAAACATTATCACTTGGGCAGCAGGCATAGTTCCTCCTCCTTGGTACCTCTCCTTGATTTATGATGAGATTATGCATTCTTGCAGGGCTATGGACATCTTATGGAGGCATACATGGCGGGAAGCAAACGCCCTGGCGGACCAACTCGCTAAATATGGAGTGTCCTCAAGCGCCTCAGATCCATGAGAGCTCGTTTTTTGCCGCTGCTGGCCCCCTCGCACTCCCTCTTAGGACTTTCGGACCATTTTGTATTTTGGGCTTCTCACGGTTTTATATAATCTCTATGATGGACAACTATTATAAGCCCTACCCATTTTTTGTATAGGACTACCCTCTACGGGGGAGTTTATTTTTTGCCGAGTGGCCCAGCCTGTGGGCTCTCTCATTGAATCTTTGTAATATTTACTCCTTTTATACTACACTTAACAATTTCAAAAAATGAAATGGTCAACATCATGCTTTTGACTTGACCCTTCAACCAATAAGTTTTCTTGCATTCTTTCTTGTTGGAGAAAATCGACTAGGCTATTTCTTACCAAAATAAAAAAAGAAAGAAAAAAGAAATAGTAAAGTCTTCTAGGTTATCTACATATCATCGCTGAGACTTTTGAATGCTCAAATTTTTACAACTTTTCATTGATTTATAACTTTTTATGCATGTTTTGTTATAATGAGACGACTACATTATTGTAGTCTAATTTTTACTGCTGGTCTTAGGTAACTAAAAGGGTAGTTTTTGTGCAAAATCAATTGTAAGAAGGCATGAGCATTGCTCTTGAACACATAAGCAATGGTCAATTAGTTCTCATTCTCGTTTTACTTTCCATTTTCAAGTTAGGCTTTCTTTTATTCTAAATGTGATGTTTCTCAATTTACTGAAAACAGTGCTTGCAAAAAGGAATTGCATAAACTCAGTTGAATTTGACCACAAAAAATCAATGGACCTGTTATTTATTTCTGTGCTAGAATTAGATGAAGTCTAGAGCGAATTCATCTTAACATGGAATAGCGTCTATGCACCTGGTTTTGGGTGAATGGATAGACTCTGAATCCCTGCTGGATTTGAGAATACCTGGCCTTTGAAATTTGAATCATGATTACTAGGTTACTAGAACCTCCCGTAAGGTCACTTGTTGAGTCTTGACTTCGAATGGATTGGAGTGCATATGCGTTTGAAGTGTAAAGTATAGGTTACCTAGAACCTCCTGTTGCAGTTGCTCCTCTGCTTTTGAATCTGAGGATTCCAACTTGGCTTGCAGCTTGAAACTTTGCTTGCCTTCTTTACTTTAATGGAGGCAATAAGATGCTAGAACTGTTTTGTAAGTATTCTGTAGAACTAAAGTTCTTCCAATAGATAAATCTCTACCCACTTTCTAGTAAATGTACCTGGTTTTTCTTCATGATATATATTGGCTTTTCTTCATGATATATATTTTTTAAAATGTTATTACTGTCGCAAAATTGACCAAATCTATGTTTATGATGTTTCTATTTTTCAGTACATCATGCCTATTACCATTTCTTTGGGATTGTTTGCTATATCTCTGATGCAATAGTTTATTTATTTGATATTCAGAAATGTGATGAAAGCTTGCCAATGCTTATTTTGCGATTTGATTATCAGTTCTCAATGTTACAGTCATTTTTTCATGAGCTCTTGGTATTGGTGTTCTCTTTCTTGCATTAAGATTTAGATTTAAGAAAATGGGAAGAAAATGGTAACCATTTTTGGTGTAACATGTTTTCTATCATGATTCAAAAATATCAGAAGAAAATGAAGTGATAAGTGGGCTTGTACTTTACATTTTGCATCTTGATTCATTTGTAGGCAGAAGGATGGGTCAAGAATATGAGTGGATCGGATGCCGATGACTCACTGTTTCCTGATGTTGAAAGTCGGCCAGCCAGGTGCTTTATGAATCATACCTTTAAAATTTTACCTCTCTTTCTCCTTGGCTCTCTCAGTTTGTATGACTAGCATGCACACATATTTAAACTCCTCTCTATCTAGAACCATGAGATTAAGCTAAACTTGATATGTTCAAGCATCACAATCTCTACATATATGGCCAACAAAATTGTGGGGTGTGAGTAGTGTTTTAAAATGCGGGATGCGGCCCTGATGCGGCCCAGATGCGGGTGCATCATGATGATGCGATCAATAAATGTAAAAAAATTCTAATCAATCTAAAAAAATAAGTTAATGCATAGAAAAAAATATGAAGGTGATATATGTGATAGTAGGTATTTTAGTTTAATGATTAACTTCAAAACTATTAGCTGTCGGAAATTCTGTATCCAGTTATCCACTATCCCCTGATAGAAACTAGAAACTTGAAACCAGCTTCATAAAGCATTCAACAATCAACAACCATAAGCACCAATTTGCACCATAAGCACAACCATCAACAACCATAAGCACAAAATAGTGATATTACAAAATACAAACCAAAAGTCAAGCTCAAGAAGAGTTAATAGTTAATAACTTAATACAATCATTCATTTTGAGAGTCAATTTTGAAATTTGAATTTCATTTTTTCAAATATCAATCAGACAAGTCATCTTGATAGTCGTCATGCGCATCATCAATATCGTCCTCGACGGCCTCCATGTATTCTTCTTCATCGGTCTCCTCTGAGTCAGCTTCCTCCTCGACCTCTGAAGCTAATGTGCGAGTGCGACTAGACCCAACAGCTCCTCTACTCCTTTGTGCTCTACTGTTAGGTCGATCTTCTTCATTAACCTCTGTTGTTAGCTCGACATCAAGCCATGTAAGATCCTTACCCTCAAACACACGCTTTTGTCTTGGATCCACGGTCCACTCACTTATGGAATCACCATCAGCTTCATATAATTGAATAGGGTTGAGCTTCGTGCGATTTTCATACCTCTCCATAAGCCGCTCGTTATACCGCACATAAACCAAATCATTCAACTTTTTATGCTCTAACCTATTTTTTTTTTTTTAAGGAGCTGTAGTAGAAATCTAAAATTAGATAAATTACATTTTAGATTCGAAAATTGAAATTCAAGAAATAAGGATTAAGGAATAAGGAGTAAAGGACTTACATTCTCAAATGCTCTCCAATTGTGTTCACAACCAGATGAGCTACATGTGAGATTCAACACTCGAATAGCGAGACGTTTTAGATTTGGTGTCTCACTTCCATATAATGCCCACCATGCAGCTGTATAATATTTTATAATTTAGAATATAGTTAAAAATTAAGGGTATAAAATAAACAATGGAACTATACATAAAGTAAGAGACTAAGTACGATTAATTTTGGGCTTTTGGCCTTTACCTGGATCTGTAGTGTTCCTATTTCGAGTGGCAATATCTCTCCCAAAGTTTTTCAAGGCTAACTTGAACGTAATCAATTCATGGCTTTGGATCTCATTCTTGATATCTTTGTCTGGCACTAACCTCTCCAGCACATCTAAGAACCCACCATTTATTACACGATCTGACTCAATGGATGGGTGCTTGTAGTGAAGAGATGGGTTTAGAAAATAACCGGCGGAATGGAGGTGCCTGTGAAGATGGGTATCCCATCTCCTATCAATAATTTCAAGAATAGCCTTGTGCATATTTTCATCATCCTTTAAAAAATCTTTTCGTTCAGTTCTTGCCCTAGTCATTGCCTCATGTATGTAGCCCATGGCGGGCTTCGAATGACCATCAACCAGTCGAAACACTCTCACTAAAGGGCGAGCCACCTCCAATGCAATAATTATTTGACTCTGAAAAGATGTATTCAAAATAAATTTTTCAGCCTTTCTCCCATCCTTATGCTTTGACCATTTGCTTTGACTTCATTGCTTTGAAGCAAACATGGTCCTCAAGGCATTTTTTTGCTTGGCTAGGCTTCGAAGAGTGAGAAATGACGTGGCAAATCTAGTGATACCCGGTCTCACTAATTCTCTCTTCTTTGTAAAATACCTCATCATGCTTAGGACTATGGTGTAATTTTAAATAAATCCAACAACAAACATAGCTCTTGAAATCGCCCCACTAAATAAAGATGTTGTACCCATTTCCTTAAGCATAAGATTAACACAGTGAGCTGCACAAGGTGTCCAAAACATATGCTTCCTTTTCAAAGTCAAGAAATGCCCAGTTGCAGCATAGTTGGCGCCATTGTCGGTGATAATTTGTACCACATTTTGCTCCCCAACAAAATCGACAATCTCATCCATCAAGCCCGATAAGTATATACCATCATGTGATTTGTCTGATGCATCAATAGACTTAACAAAAAAAGTACCTGTTGGGCAATTAACCAAAAAATTAATGAAATTCGCCCTTGATTTTCCATCGGACCAACCATCACACATAATAGTGGCCCCATATTTCTCCTACCCTTCTCTCTGAGAAATCAAAAATTTTATTCACATCAAATACAACATCCTTCAACAAAGGCTCCTTAACCTCATGTAGTGAAGGAGGAATAAGTCCTGGGCCATATTGCCCAATTACCTGAACCATACATGCAAAACTATCCAGAGTTATAGTATTAAAAGGAATGCCGGCCTTGTAAATCCACTTTGCAATCCGCTTACATACCGACTTCCTTTGTTCTTTCTTATATTTATTGTCAATTGTGGTTTGTTTTGTTTTTTTCTCTCTCCTGAATCACAATTTCGGGGCTAGGGGTGAAAAAAGCATCCATTGGTCCCTTAGAGAGAGGTGTTCTTCTCTCAGCACTACCACCAATATTTATAACCCTATCTCTTGAGGTTGGAGTATGAGTACCCCTTTGCCTCATAGCAACTTTAGACATATCATCATCATCATCATCATCAACATCATCAAATAATTGCATATCATCAAGTAATTCTTTGCTCTTTTTTTTTTTCTTTATCTTTGTTCAATCTATCCAAATATTTTCTAATCTCCTTTTTTATATCATCTGTAGCTTGTGGGTATGCTCTTACATTCCTAGAAATTCCAGCTAAATTCTCTTTTTGTCAAAAAATACCACCCATATAAGTATTTCCACAGAGCAAGCATATCACACAATTTCTATCTTTCGGATTTTTTAGTTTAGCATATTTTCAAGCCGGATCCTTGTTACTAGAAGATTGAGAAGAAGACATTGCCCCAAAAATAAGTATAACAGTATTATTGTACAAGAAGGAATAAAAAGTTACCGACTATGTGAAGTAGTGTTCGATTTCTTCACGGCCTCTGAAATCCCTAATTTTTTATCACAAATTCACCTTAACATCCCCAAATCAACAATAAAAGGCATCAAATGAACATCCAAGTATCAAACAACCGCCAAATCAAAGATTTGGATGAAAAAAGAAGTTTTGCCATATTTTTTTTTCCTTCGATTCGATGCAAAAAAAGCCACAAAAGTAGCTGGAAATCTTCCATTAGGGGGTATAGTAACCCCCCAAACAGTTTCCCTAAACATTGGAACAAAAAAAGACGATTTTGCCCCTCCCCAAGGGTCAAAATCGAAAAAAAAATTCGTGGAAATAGATGCGGGTGAGATGCGGTCTGATGCAGCCATGATGCGGGATGCAGCCATGATGCGGCCGCATCTATCAAAAGCGCATATGCGCATGAACAGGATGCGGATGCGAGCGCATCTCGCATGATGTGGCCACATATGTGGCGATGCGGCCGCATTTTAAAACACTGGGTGTGAGGTAAAGTGTGAATTGGAGAGAGATAGAAGAGGGGTGGGAGAAGAGAGGAGCGGGGGGGGGGGGGGGGGGGGGGCGAGGGGACCACCACCTGGTAATGTTTTCTGAATCTCCTTGGACTCCTAGACTAGAGCCCTACCTATGGTCAAACAGTTTGAGTCCATAGAGCAACACAAGGGCTTTGGTCATTGTTGAGGTTATGATTCCAATGTTTCCCTAGAAGGATGACAAAACAGATCCTTGGCTATCGCAAAAGACACCCCTGTCTACCAGGTTTTCTGAAAGAACACCCATCGTTTTTAACTTGATTGAGCCTAACTCTGGGGGATCCAGTGATACGATCTTCTACAGCGGCTCTGGATGAACCATGTAGTAATAGTATCCCAATTCAGTTGCAATCCTAAATAACGATGGGTGTTCTTTCGGAAATGCAGTAATAGTATCCCCTGTCTATTAGGATGCAATCCTTAATAAGGACGTGATCAACTGGCTTCATCACTGGTGCTTATCAACACAGATGAAATCCTAAATAAGGATTTGTCATATTCTAACTAGGGAAAAAAAGAAAAACAGAAGAAAATTAAGAATTTGTCGAAGAACTGTCCCTACGTATCAACGATTTTTACTTTTCTAAAGTAATTTGTTCCAGCACAAAACCCATCATTAGGTTTCACCTTCCCTAAACAAAGAAATTGCCTCCTCCTTTGCATCAGTGGCCGCAGTATTATTCCTGATCCAGGTCTTCCATCTTCCATTCTACCACTTTTCCCATTTGCTCTGTAGTCATTCTTTATCATTCCTCTCATGTTTCAAGAAATAATAGTAAATCGAGATTCTTACAAATTCTAAACCCCACCCGCCCTTGGATTCTATGATCTCCTTCTCCCATTAATTCCTTGAACCCATAAACCTCCAATCACATGATTCCAACCTTCATGGAATTAGAACATGTTAGTCTACTACCTCACAGGGTTCCCCAATTTTAACGAACAGAATTTGTGTGTGGTGAATCACAAGCGGGCAACGGGCTCTGAGAATATAAAGAAAAGTAATACTCCCCCAACCTTGGAAATGTGAAACTGGCTGAACCTTGTCATGACCGTCTAGACTTGGTTGCTTTATACGCCTTTATTAAGTTCTCACTACATAGAAAGAAAGAAAATGAATCAAAGGACAAACAAATCTGCAAACTAAAATTTAGTTTCTAATGTTTTTGCCTTGTGTGGGGAAAACAATTGAAAATTTTTTGGCCTGTATTACACATTTGAATTCTGTGAACATGGGACATGTGCTTTGTTAGTTTTAAAATAAATCCATGGGTGACATGACATGGCCATGGAACAATTTCCAAAATTTTAATCTTCAACCATATAGAGCCAGTGAAGTAATTTATGCTCCAAGATCAAATTACTTAACTAAATTCTTTCCAAACTACCAAGTCCTTCCCAATTTCTTTTTTGCTATTGTCAACATCCTTACTATTCCATTCATGAAGTAGAGGTTTCTCACACCACTTCATTGATGTTGGTTGTTAGTACTCTTTTTTACTCTGGAAATATTTCTCCCATCCTGTCTATCATTTCCTTTGGGTTTTGTTTTATTGTAACAGTTCTAGACTAATTGAATATTTCACTCATTCTAGGCTTGGACTGGGTGCTAAGTACATACCCCATTCAAAAACGGTTGCAATAACTGACCCCCTTGAGAGAAAACTTCACGCCAAACTTGTCCCTGCAAGAGCTCGAAATGACAGAGAAAATGTCGAGCAAGACCAGAATTCTAAAGGTGTTAAAGATGATGATGAAGATGAGGAAGCTTTAGAAAGCAGAAGCATTGCAATTTGTAAGAAAAGCACAGGGGTTTGGGCTGAGTTTTTGCAGGGAAGGAATTCGAGTGGGAAAAAGAGAAAGAGAAGATGAGTAGATAGTCCAGGCTGCTGGTTAAAACTTCCGATTGGATGTGAAGCTGGAAGAACTTTAGTTGTAAAGTGAGAGAGAGGGAGAGATCATGTAGGTCTAATGACTTAGCTAATTTCTAATCCTTTTCAAATTTTTACAGTTAATTATCAAATTTTTAATGTTTCCTTGAATGAATAGTGGAGCAGACCAAACTGTGCTGTGCTTTACTCCTAAAGGGTACAGAGAATTGTGCATCTCTTCCATTTCACTGTTTATATCACTCCTCTGGATGTACATATTGCAAAGCACATGTTTTAGTTGGGGAGGCAAAGTTTCGTGCAAGATGAGCGAAGTTTCATGGGAAAAGGGACAAAAACCCCTCTCTCTAAAATTATAATCTCAAATTAATCAAATAACTTATAAATATCCCATAAAATCCCTTATGTTCAACCCAAAAAAAAAAGATTTGTTTAACTCCCTCTTTACTTTTTCTTTTGTCCAAATTATAGAATTTACCTCCCTTTTGTTTTTCTTTAATCACCCAGCCATCTAAATCTTAGAAAAATTGTCTTCTTCACTTGTGGACTTCTTCCTCCC